AGGTCAGCCACCAGACAGACAGTCAGAACCGTGCACTGGGCCTATCTATCAGTATAGGCAGGTCAGCCACCAGACAGACAGAACCGTACACTAGGCCTATCTATCAGTATAGGCAGGTCAGCCACCAGACAGTCAGAACCGTGCATTAGGCCCATCTATCGGCAATCAAAAGCTGTATCTCACAATTTCTTGGCTTGCAATGTCTCGCAACTAGGATAGGATATTCTACACGCAACAGAAGGAAGACTGAACAAACTTGCAACATAATCGGCGCAATGAATCCACCCCAGGCGAGCCAGCGTTTAAGAGAGAGAGGAGGGGGCAGAAAAGAAAAGAAAAGGTGGCATGTCTTGGTAATCTGCCTTGCATGCCTCGCAAATTCACCAAAGTAGCCTAAAGTTTGCCTCTTCCTCTCTGATTTTATTTAATTTACACAACTTTCCCCTTTATAGCCATATAGTCTAATTAGGCTACAAGGTACCGAGTCGATGTGCAGGGGTACGAAGTAATAACTTGGCTATATACAATTTACAGTACCAGTCAAAGTTTGGACACACCTACTCATTCAAGGGTTTATCTTTATTTTTACATTGTAGAATAATAGTGAATACGTCAAAACTATGAAATAACACATATGGAATCATGTACTAACCAAAAAAAGTGTTAAATCAAAATATATTTTATATTTGATTTTCTACAAAGTATCCACCCATTCTCTCAACCAGCTTCACTGCATCGCAGTGCTAGCTGTGCCACTAGAGATCCTGGTTCGAGTACAGGCTCTGTCGCAGTCGGCTGCGACCGGGAGACCCATTGGGAGGCGCACAATTGGCCCAGCGTCGTCCAGGTTAGGGGAGGGTTTGGCCGGTAGGGTTTTCCTTGTCCCATCGCGCACTAGCGGGCCGGGCGCAGTGCACGCTGACACGGTCGCCAGGTGTACGGCGTTTCCTCCGACACATTGGTGGAAACGCCGTACACCTGTGTCAAGAAGCAGCGCGACTCGGTTGGGTTGTGTTTCGGAGGACGCACGGCTCCCGACCTTCGCCTCTCCCGTGTCCGTACGGGAGTTGCAGTGATGGGAGAAGACTAACTACCAATTGTATCCAACCAATCACGAAATTGGGGAGGAAAAAACGTTTGAGCCAATAAGTTGTGTTGTGACAAGGTAGGGGGGTATACAGAAGATAGCCCTATTTGGTAAAAGACCAAGTCCATATTATGGCAAGAACAGCTCAAATAAGCAAAGAGAAATGACACTCCATCATTACTTTAAGACATGAAGGTCAGTCAATACAGAACATTTCAAGAACTTTGAAAGTTTCTTCAAGTGCAGTCGCAAAAAACCATCAAGCGCTATTCTGAAACTGGCTCTCATGAGGACCGCCACAGGAAAGGAAGACCCAGAGTTACCTCTGCTGCAGAGGATAAGTTCATTAGAGTTACCAGCCTCAGAAATCTGCAATTAACTGCACCTCAGATTGCAGCCCAAATAAATGATTCAGAGTTCAAGTAACAGACACATCAACTGTTCAGAGGAGACTGCGTGAATCAGGCGTTCATGGTCGAAATGCTGCAAAGAAACCACTAATAAAGGACACCAATAAGAAGAAGAGACTTGCTTGGGCCAAGAATCATGAGCAATGGACATTAGACCGGTGGAAATCTGTCCTTTGGTCTGATGAGTCTAAATGTGAGATTTATGGTTCCAACTGCCGTGTCTTTGCATGTGTGGTTCCCACCGTGAAGCATGGAGGAGGAGGTGTGATGGTGTGGGAGTGTTTTGCTAGTGACACTGTCTGTGATTTATTTAGAATTCAAGGCACACTTAACCAGCATGGCTACCACAGCATTCTGCAGCGATACGCCATCCCATCTGGTTTGGGCTTAGTGGGACTATCATTTGTTTTTCAACAGGACAATGACCCAACACACCTACAGGCTGTGTAAGGGCTATTTGACCCAATAAGGAGAGTGATGTGCTGCATCAGACGACCTGGCCTCCACAATCCCCCGACCTCAACCCAATTGAGATGGTTTGGGATGAGTCGGACGGCAGAGTGAAGGAAAAGCAGCCAACAAGTGCTCAGCATATGTGGGAACTCCTTCAAGACTGTTGGAAAAGCATTCCAGGTGATGCTGGTTGAGAGAATGCCAAGAGTGTGCAAAGCTGTCATCAAGGCAAAGGGTGGCTATTTGAAGAATCTCAAATATAAAATATATTTTGATTTGTTTAACACTTTTTTGGCTACTACATGATTCCATATGTGTTATTTCATAGTTTTGATGTCTTCACTATTATTCTACAATGTAGAAAATAGTAAAAATTAAGAAATACCCTGGAATGAGTAGGTGTGTCCAAACCTTTGACTGGTACTGTACGTAAATATGTACATATCGGTAGGGATAAAGTGACTAAGCAACAGGATAGATCAACAGTAACAGCAGCATATGTGATGATTCAAAAGAGCTGGTGAAAAAAGGGTCAATGCAGATAGTTAAATAGTTAACCAACAGCTACCCGGACTAACTATTCAGCAGTCATGGCTTGGGGGTAGAAGCTGTTCAGGGTCCTGTTGGTTTCAGACTTGGTGCATCGGTAGCAAAGGCTTGATTCGAGGCATGGTTCACAAGAGCGGAGAGAAGGCCTGTTGCGCAACGCACATCACCCACCTTGCATCTGAGCGGAGCCAGTCAGCACTTGGACGTTTTATGTAATTTTATGAGGCATGTCTTACCTTGTTTCAAAGTAGCCTAGCCAAAATCTGACCATAGAAATGTTGAGGTAATTATTTTATTAACACTTCCTCATATGCCATTAAAAACAGCATTTCTCTCATGTTCTATTGGTTTACAAATAAACTTTCTTTCAATATCCTGCAGCCAGGCACAATCCTAGTCATATTAGCAACCCATGCTAGTATCTCAGACTGGCCAATAAAAATAAAAGATTAAGATGGGCAGTCTGAGATATGGCTTTTTCTTTGCAACTCTGCCTAGAAGGTCAGCATCCCGGAATCGCCTCTTCACTGTTGACGTTGAGACTGGTGTTTTGTGGGTACTATTTAATGAAGCTGCCAGTTGAGGACCTGTGAGGCGTCTGTTTCTCAAACTAGACACTCTAATGTATTTGTCCTCTTGCTCAGTTGTGCACCGGGGCCTCCCACTCCTCTTTCTATTCTGCTTAGAGCCAGTTTGCGCTGTTCTGTGAAGGGAGTAGTACACAGCGTTGTACGAGATTTTCAGTTTCTTGGCAATTTCTCGCATGGAATATCCTTCATTTCTCAGAACAAGAATAGACTGAGGAGTTTCAGAAGAAAGTTATTTGTTTCTGGCCATTTTGAGCCTGTAATCGAACCCACAATTGCTGATGCTCCAGATACTCAACTAGTCTCAAGAAGGCCAGTTTTATTGCTTCTTTAATCAGCACAACAGTTTTCAGCTGTGCTAACATAATTGCAAAAGGGTTTTCTAATGATCAATTAGCCTTTTACAATGATAAACTTGGATTAGCATATGTAGATATTCCATTAAAAATCAGCCGTTTCCAGCTACAATAGCCATTTACAACATTAACAATGTCTACACTGTATTTCTGATCAATTTGATGTTATTTTAAAATGTACCAAAAAAATTGCTTTTCTTTCGAAAACAATGACATTTCTAAGTGACCCCAAACTTTTGAACGGTAGTGAATATATAAATTCCAGTCGTACTTTATCAAAAGCCTTTTCGAAGTCTGCTATGAATAGCAGGCCTGGTTTCCCAGATTTTTCATAGTGTTCTATTGTTTCCAGTACTTGCCTTATATTATCTCCAATGTATCGTCCATGTAAAAAACCTGTCTGATTAGAATGAATAATATCCGACAATACCTTTTTAATTCTATGCGCTATACATTTTGCTAGAATTTTTAAAATCACAACACTGAAGTGTAAGGGGCCTCCAATTTTTTTAATGAACTAGATCTATATATTTCCCACTGGTATCCTGTTTCAGCAATAATGAAATCAGACCTTCTTGTTGAGTGTCTGATAATCTACCATTTACATACGAGTGGTTAAAACATGCTAGTAACGATCCTCTGAGAATATCAAAAAAAGTTTGGTATACCTCAAACTGGTATGCCATCCAGCCCTGGAGTTTTCCCGGACTTAAAGGCTTTAAATGCATCAAGAAGTTCCTCCTCCGTAATTTCACCTTCACATGAATATTTCTGTACGGCTGTTTATTTTACATTATCAATAGAAAAAATTATCCATACAATTAACTTTGGTTAGAGGAGATGGAGGAGACAAACCAAAACATATGCTTAAAGTACTTTGTTTCCTCCTTCAAAATATCATTTGGTGAATCATGGGTGACTCCGTCATTTGTTACCAGTTTCAGTAAATTATTTTTGGTAGCATTTCTATGTTGAAGATTAAATAATAATTTTGTGCATTTTTCCCCATATTCCTTCCAGTTTGCTTTATTTTGTATCTTTCTTGAATAAGTTCCTCCATTTAGTTTTGTTTTTCCTCTAATTTATTCTGAGCCTCTATGTTACAGTTTTTATTGCCATCTATCTGTTCTGTTGCTTGCAGGGTTGATCATTTATTATATATATTGTCAAAGTGTGGATCATCATTATTTGGTCCGTAAAGGTTAATGAGCCGTATCTGTTTATGGTCCAATAACATATTTAAAATAATCCTTCTACCTTGCGTATCTGTTTGGACAATTTGCACATTCGGATCGAAATTACTGTTAATTAATATCATCACCCCTTTTGAGTTTCTTAGCCCATGGGAGAAGTATATTTGCCCCCCCAGTCCTTTTTCCACACAACTTAATCTAGAATTGTTGAATGAGTTTCCTGTAAACAATAGATATTATATTCGTTCTCTTTGAGCCATGTAAATATTGTTCTTCTTTTGTTATTATCTGCTAAACCAGATATACCTATACTTATTTCACCATTACATATATTTGTTGGTGGGACCAATAAAAAGAGCTGGTATTTACGTCTGAGACTTGATGGTGGGTGGCAGCTGCTTGTAGTCTCCAGCCAGGACACACCTCCTGCCTCTGAGCAGAGCGATCCAACAGGAGCTCTCCAAGGCCTGGGCGCACTCGTCTATCACCACCCAGTCAAAATGGTCTACAGGTAGGTTCTTCAGAGGGCCACCGTCATTAGCACCTGGAGACAACACAGACAGGTCATATTATTGTTCAGTAGGACGCCACCCAGTCAAAATGGGGACAGAGGGTCATGTTCATTAGGCACCAAAGGGAAGGAAACAGATTTAAACAGGAGGGCTACCAGGACTTGTCCAATCAGAAATGCAAATTGTCCTTTTTTTGTTGCAAAACATTTTGAAACATTTTATACAGTGGGGAAAAAAAGTATTTAGTCAGCCACCAATTGTGCAAGTTCTCCCACTTAAAAAGATGAGAGAGGCCTGTAATTTTCATCATAGGTACACGTCAACTATGACAGACAAAATGAGAAAAGAAATCCAGAAAATCACATTGTAGGATTTTTAATGAATTTATTTGCAAATTATGGTGGAAAATAAGTATTTGGTCAATAACAAAAGTTTCTCAATACTTTGTTATATACCCTTTGTTGGCAATGACACAGGTCAAACGTTTTCTGTAAGTCTTCACAAGGTTTTCACACACTGTTGCTGGTATTTTGGCCCATTCCTCCATGCAGATCTCCTCTAGAGCAGTGATGTTTTGGGGCTGTCGCTGGGCAACACAGACTTTCAACTCCCTCCAAAGATTTTCTATGGGGTTGAGATCTGGAGACTGGCTAGGCCACTCCAGGACCTTGAAATGCTTCTTACGAAGCCACTCCTTCGTTGCCCGGGCGGTGTGTTTGGGATCATTGTCATGCTGAAAGACCCAGCCACGTTTCATCTTCAATGCCCTTGCTGATGGAAGGAGGTTTTCACTCAAAATCTCACGATACATGGCCCCATTCATTCTTTCCTTTACACGGATCAGTCGTCCTGGTCACTTTGCAGAAAAACAGCCCCAAAGCATGATGTTTCCACCCACATGCTTCACAGTAGGTATGGTGTTCTATGGAAGCAACTCAGCATTATTTGTCCTCCAAACACAACGAGTTGAGTTTTTACCAAAAAGTTATATTTTGGTTTCATCTGACCATATGACATTCTCCCAATCCTCTTCTGGATCATCCAAATGCACTCTAGCAAACTTCAGACGGGCCTGGACATGTACTGGCTTAAGCAGGGGGACACGTCTTGCACTGCAGGATTTGAGTCCCTGGCGGCATAGTGTGTTACTGATGGTAGGCTTTGTTACTTTGGTCCCAGCTCTCTGCAGGTTATTCACTAGGTCCCCCCGTGTGGTTCTGGGATTTCTGCTCACCGTTCTTGTGATCATTTTGACCCCACGGGGTGAGATCTTGCGTGGAGCCCCAGATCGAGGGAGATTATCAGTGGTCTTGTATGTCTTCCATTTCCTAATAATTGCTCCCACAGTTGATTTCTTCAAACCAAGCTTCTTACCTATTGCAGATTCAGTCTTCCCAGCCTGGTGCAGGTCTACAATTTTGTTTCTGGTGTCCTTTGACAGCTCTTTGGTCTTGGCCATAGTGGAGTTTGGAGTGTGACTGTTTGAGGTTGTGGACAGGTGTCTTTTATACTGATAACAAGTTCAAACAGGTGCCATTAATACAGGAAATGAGTGGAGGACAGAGGAGCCTCTTAAAGAAGAAGTTACAGGTCTGTGAGAGCCAGAAATATTGCTTGTTTGTAGGTGACCAAATACTTATTTTCCACCACAATTTGCAAATAAATTCATTAAAAATCCTACAATGTGATTTTCTGGATTTTTTTTCCTCAATTTGTCTGTCATAGTTGACGTGTACCTATGATGAAAATTACAGGCCTCTGTCATCTTTTTAAGTGGGAGAACATGCACAATTGGTGGCTGACTAAATACTTTTTTTCCCCACTGTAGTGTGCCCCCTAATGAACAACTGTTGATATCCACCATCGTTCACCTGTGTTAGTGGCTAGGACAACGTTGATATCCACCATCGCTCACCTGTGTTAGTGGCTAGGACAACGTTGATATCCACCATCGCTCACCTGTGTTAGTGGCTAGGACAAAGTTGATATCCACCATCTCTCACCTGTGTTAGTGGCTAGGACAACGTTGATATCCACCATCGCTCACCTGTGTTAGTGGCTAGGACAACGTTGATATCCACCATCGCTCACCTGTGTTAGTGGCTAGGACAACGTTGATATCCACCATCGCTCACCTGTGTTAGTGGCTAGGACAACGTTGATATCCACCATCGCTCACCTGTGTTAGTGGCTAGGACAAAGTTGATATCCACCATCTCTCACCTGTGTTAGTGGCTAGGACAACGTTGATATCCACCATCGCTCACCTGTGTTAGTGGCTAGGACAACGTTGATATCCACCATCGCTCACCTGTGTTAGTGGCTAGGACAACTGTTGATATCCACCATCGCTCACCTGTGTTAGTGGCTAGGACAACGTTGATATCCACCATCGCTCACCTGTGTTAGTGGCTAGGACAACGTTGATATTCACCATCGCTCACCTGTGTTAGTGGATAGGACAACGTTGATATCCACCATCGCTCACCTGTGTTAGTGGCTAGGACAACGTTGATATCCACCATCGCTCACCTGTGTTAGTGGCTAGGACAACGTTGATATCCACCATTGCTCACCTGTGTTAGTGGCTAGGACAATGTTGATATCCACCATCGCTCACCTGTGTTAGTGGATAGGACAACGTTGATATCCACCATCGCTCACCTGTGTTAGTGGCTAGGACAACGTTGATATCCACCATCGCTCACCTGTGTTAGTGGCTAGGACAACGTTGATATCCACCATCGCTCACCTGTGTTAGTGGCTAGGACAACGTTGATATCCACCATCGCTCACCTGTGTTAGTGGCTAGGACAACGTTGATATCCACCATCGCTCACCTGTGTTAGTGGCTAGGACAACGTTGATATCCACCATCGCTCACCTGTGTTAGTGGATAGGACAACGTTGATATCCACCATCGCTCACCTGTGTTAGTGGCTAGGACAACGTTGATATCCACCATCGCTCACCTGTGTTAGTGGCTAGGACAACGTCAGCTCGTTTGAGGACCTCAGTAATGGCCGCAGCTTCCCTGGTCCTCAGCTCTTTCCTCAGCTCTCCTACCTCCCTCTTCAGGTTGACCCGATCTCCTTTGTCACGAATCTTCTTCATCCCCATCTACACATTGAGAAAACATTCATATCTAACCTAGAAGCCTTCCAATACATCCAGAAAATACACTAAAGAAAATTACCTTACTTTCTAAGCTTAAAAGCCTTTTCACAAATACTAATGAATGCCAGGAGCTGGGAGTTAACCAGTGCTATGACATGTAGAGTTTCTGGACATTGATATTCTGTATATTACAGTAACTTCTGATACCAAATAATCTGTTATCATAATTGAACAGTCAAATAATTAGAGACCAAGCTGGTGTTAGCGCTAATGGAAACCCATCACACTCACAAACGCTTTCATATTAAGATGTCATTATCATTGATGCCATATTATCAATACTTACAAAAGCTTTGTCGATGTCTTTGCGTATGTCAGCGATGATGTTGCTGTTGTCACTGTGAGCGAGGACGGCGTCCAGTGAGTGTTTCTGAATGGACTCTAGCAGGCGGGCAGGGTGGCCTAGTCTCAGCACCTTAGCTTTGGCCTTGACCAGGCGCTCTACCAGGTTATCCACCGCCACGTTGGAACCAGCACAACACAGGACCTACAGGACAAACAGACAAACACCAATAAGAGTCAACATCTGGTCCAAGTGTGACGAACAAAACAATGAACCAATGATTACAAAGGATTACCTAAACCATATTTAAAAAGGATTACCTAAACTATATTTAAAAAGGATTACCTAAACCATATTTAAAAAGGATTACCTAAACCATATTTAAAAAGGATTACCTAAACTATATTTAAAAAGGATTACCTAAACCATATTTAAAAAGGATTACCTAAACCATATTTAAAAAGGATTACCTAAACCATATTTAAAAAGGATTACCTAAACCATATTTAAAAAGGATTACCTAAACCATATTTAAAGGATTACCTAAACCATATTTAAAGGATTACCTAAATCATATTTAAAAAGGATTACCTAAACTATATTTAAAAAGGATTAGCTAAACCATATTTAAAGGATTACCTAAATCATATTTAAAAAGGATTACCTAAACCATATTTAAAGGATTACCTAAACCATATTTAAAGGATTACCTAAATCATATTTAAAAAGGATTACCTAAACTATATTTAAAAAGGATTAGCTAAACCATATTTAAAAAGGATTACCTAAACCATATTTAAAAAGGATTACCTAAACCATATTTAAAAAGGATTACCTAAACCATATTTAAAAAGGATTACCTAAACCATATTTAAAGCCAGATTCAGCAATTTTTCAATAGAACATATTGACTTGTGTGTCAAAAGACTGTCATAACTTGATACTTCTCTTGATCAGAATGGACACACCAATGTACTGTATGACATCATCTCTACCTTCTGTCCCCGTTTGACCACCTGGAGGATAATTTCCACCACAGTGGTTGTCTTGCCAGTGCCTGGTGGTCCGTGTATCACAGCTACCTCTCTCTGAGACAGAGCAAACGACACCGCCTCCCTCTGAGACTCATCCAGACCAGTGTTCAGGAAAGACAGATCATCTGAACAAATAAGAGGAGACAATTGTCAATCTTATATTTGCGTCTAAGAAGTTTTTTCAGACAGGTGAATATTTTTTCTGATGTCCAAAATCACATAGGCAATAATTTTGTCATTCTTCTATTTAAGAAGGGTATGATCTGGTGTGCTACAGGAGGCTAATAGCATCTTCCAGAGAGGCAGGCTTACTTGGTTGTGATAAAGAGCCAGGTTCGGAATAGCCAAAGAGAACGCTGATCAAATCCGAGGCTGGTCCACTGCTGTACCCATTCAGAGTGTTCAAGGCCCTGCGGACAACAAGTATTGGAATAGGTGGGGATTAGAGTCAGAGTTAGGGAGTGAGGTCAGGGATTAGAGTCAGAGTTAGGGAGTGAGGTCAGGGATTAGAGTCAGAGTTAGGGAGTGAGGTGGGGGATTAGAGTCAGAGTTAGGGAGTGAGGTCAGGATTAGAGTCAGAGTTAGGGAGTGAGGTGGGGGATTAGAGTCAGAGTTAGGGAGTGAGTCAGGATTAGAGTCAAGTTAGGGATGAGGTCAGGATTAGAGTCAGAGTTAGGGATAGGTCAGGTGTTAAGTCAGAGTTAGGGAGTGAGGTCGGGGATTAAGAGTCAAGTTAGGGAGTGAGTCGGGATTAGAGTCAGATTTAGGGAGTTGAGGTCAGGGATTAGAGTCGAGTTAGGAGTGAGGTCGGGATTAGAGTCAGAGTTAGGGAGTGAGGTCGGGGATTAAAATCAGAGTTTAAGGGAGTGAGGTCAGGATTAGAGTCAGAGTTAGGGAGTGAGGTCCAGGATTAGAGTCAGAGTTAGGAGTGAGGTCGGGGATGTAGAGTCAGATTAGGGAATGAGGTTCGGGTTGAGTCAGAGTTAGGAAGTGATGGTCGGGAATTAGAGTCAGTTAGGGAGTGAGGTCAGGATTAGATCAGAGTTAGGGAGTGAGGTCAGATTAGAGTCGAGTTAGGGAGTGGGTCGGGGATTAGAGTCAGAGTTAAGGGAGTGAGGTCGGGGATTAGAGTCAGAGTTAGGAGTGAGGTCAGATTAGAGTCAGATTAGGGAAGTGAGGTCAGGTTAGAGCAGAGTTTTGTGAGGAGGTCAGGATTAGTTTCAGATTGGGAGTAGTGGCAGATTAGATTAGATTCTAGTTGAAGGGTCAGATTATGTCATTAGGGTTAGTCAGGTTAGGTCGAGTAGGTGAAGGTGGGGTGTTGAGTCGAGTAGGGAATGATGGTCGGGTAGAGTCAGTTAGGGAATGAGGTGGATTAAGTCAAGTTAGGATGGTGTGCAGATGGTCAAGTTAGGGTGAGTGTGAGGGTGAAGTCAGAGTTAGGTGCAAGTAGGCAATAGCAGTGGCTTAAGTAGGGTTAGAGTGGTGCTATAGATACATCAGTGGGTGAGTCAGGATTAGATCAGGTGTGTACGTGGTAGAGTCAGGTTGGTAAGTGAGGTAGATAGAGTCAGGGTTGGGTGACGGTAGGTAATAGAGTTAGGGTGAGGTGGGGATTAAAGTCTAGTGTGTAGTAGGCTATAGCATGGTGCTCAGAGGCAGCCTTACTTGGTTGGGTTAGGGAGTGAGGTCGGAATGAGATCAGTCTGGAGTGAATCGGGGATTGTCAGGGTTGGAGTGAGCCGATTAGAGGTTCAGGCTGGGACGGGATTGGAATAGGTTAGGAGTGAGGTCGGTTAGGATAGGGTTAGGGATAGGTCGGGTTAGAGAGGGTAGGATGAGTTCAGGAGTTAGAGTAGGGTAGGGTAGAGTCAGGGAGTTAGGGAGTGAGGTCGGGATTAGAGTCAGGGTTGGGATGAGGTCGGAGTTAGAGTCAGAGTTAGGGTGAGGTCAGGATAGAGTGAGTTAGGGAGTGAGGTCGGGATGAGTCAGGGTTAGGGGTGAGGTCGGATTAGAGTCAGGGTTAGGGAGTAGGTCGGGATTGAGTCAGGGTTAGGGAGTGAGGTAGGATTAGGTCAGGGTTAGGGAGGAGGTCAGGGTTAGGATTCAGAGTTAGAGTTGAGGTCGGGTTAGAGTAGGTAGGGAAGTCAGGTCGGGATAGAGTCAGGTTAGAGTGAGGGTTAGGGATAGAGTCAGGTTAGGAGTAGTTAGGAGTTAGGTCGGTTAGGCAGGGTGGAGTGATCAGGATTAGAGTCAGAGTTAGGGAGAGGTCAGGTATTAGATCAGAGTTAGGAGTGAGGTCGGGATTAGAGTCAGGGTTAGGGAGTGAGGTCGGGATTAAGTCAGGGTTAGGGAGGTGGAGGTCGGGTTGGAGTGAGGTCGGGTTAGGGGTTGGGATGAGTCGGGTTAGAGTGAGTAGGATGAGGGCGGGGTTAGAGTCAGGTGGGATTAGAGTCGGGTTAGGATGAGGTCGGGATGAGAGTCGGGGTTAGGTGAGTAGGGAGTGAGGGTCAGGATTAGAGTGAGTTAGGTCAGGGTTTGGGAGTGAGGTCATTAGAGTTAGGGAGTGAGGTCGGGATTAGAGTCAGGGTTAGGGAGTGAGGTCGGGATTAGAGTCAGGGTTAGGGAGTGAGGTCGGGATTAGAGTCAGGGTTAGGGAGTGGGTGGGATTAGAGTCAGAGTTAGGGGAGTCGGGTTGGGGATTAGGGTAGGTAGGGATAAGTCAGGTGTGGGATTGAGTCGGGTTAGAGCGATGGTGAGGTCGGGATTAGAGTCAGGGTTAGGGAGGGGGATTAGAGTAGTAGGGAGTGAGGTCAGGATTAGAGTCAGAGAGTGAGGTCAGGATTAGAGTCAGAGTTAGGGAGTGAGTTCGGGTTAAGTCAGGGTAGGGAGTAGACGGATTAGATCAGGGTTAGGTTGAGGTCGGAATTTAGAGTCGTTGTAGGTGAGATCGGATTAGATCAGGTTAGGAGTGAGGTCGGTGTGGTCAGGTTGAGGTCTGGTAATTCACGGTAGGGTATAGCGTGACTGATTGTCGGTCAGAGCAGGGCAGATTAGGTCAGGGGTTAGGGCTCCAGTCATTTAAAACCAGAGACTCGCATAGACAGGCAGGAGAGGTGGGATTAGAGTCAGTTAGAATGAGTCGGGTATAGAGTCAGTTTGGTTTGAGGCAGCATGTCAGATTAAGGAGTATCGGGATTTAGTCGGGTTAGGAGAGGTCGGATTAGAGTCAGGTTAGAGTGAGTCAGGTTAATCAGTAGGAGGAGTCGATTAGAGTCAGGGTTAGGGAGTGAGGTCGGGATTAGAGTCAGGGTTAGGGAGTGAGGTCGGGATTAGAGTCAGAGAGTGAGGTCAGGATTAGAGTCAGGGTTAGGGAGTGAGGTCGGGATTAGAGTCAGGGTTAGGGAGTGAGGTCGGGATTAGAGTCAGGGTTAGGGAGTGAGGTCGGATTTGAGGGCAGGGTTAGGAGTGAGGTCGGGATTAGAGTCAGGGTTAGGGAGTGAGGTCGGGATTAGAGTCAGGGTTAGGGAGTGAGGTCGGGATTAGAGTCAGAGAGTGAGGTCAGGATTAGAGTCAGAGTTAGGGAGTGAGGTCGGGATTAGAGTCAGGGTTAGGGAGTGAGGTCGGGATTAGAGTCAGAGTTAGGGAGTGAGGTCGGGATTAGAGTCAGGGTTAGGGAGTGAGGTCGGGATTAGAGTCAGAGAGTGAGGTCAGGATTAGAGTCAGAGTTAGGGAGTGAGGTCAGGATTAGAGTCAGGGTTAGGGAGTGAGGTCAGGGTTAAGGTCAGGGTAACGGTTAAACTCAGGCATAGGTTTTCTTACTAACTTTTTCATGCGTTTGTACGTGACATCGTTAGCCAGCTTCATGAGGTTGTACAGAGCGTCTGTGTCCAGGTTGAGCCCGTCTGGTGAGTCCTCACAGGCTACGGTTATAGCTGACTGACTGCTACGGGTCACTACACCAGTGGCCAGCTGGGAGGACGGCTTACAGCCATCCAAGTCATACACACCCACTATGTCTCCTGCAACCACAGACAAACCAATCAGAGAGTTATTCATTTAGTTTAGCCTATGTAAATAGCCTTTTCATAGACCCTGTTTGTGCTTTTAGCCAACTCCAATGGCCATCGAATATATGGTACCAGGCTACCACTGTATGTAAAGTCTTTCTTACAGTAGATAATTACATAAAGATGGCTAGAGCATGAGCTATGATATTCAACGTTCTTACCGGGTCCAAAGTTGTTGCTAGGTAGCACGGAGACGCCCATGTGTTTTCTGGGTTCTAGAAGGATGAGCGATCGCCCATAAAGGCCAGTCGACTGGCTTCCTATCCGCAGCTTCAGAAGACACACGCCTTTACTCTGGAGATCTTTCAGAGAGACATTCTCCTGCCATAGCCTACAGATACACAACCAGAGGAAACATTCAGATTCAGAAAATGTCCTCAATGAGGCAATTCATTTAGCAACGAACACAATACATACAGACCAAAACATCTTTAAAAAACAAACAACAGAAAGGAAACATGGTCAGTTTTGTACGATTCCTTTGGAAGGGGTCTTCAATACAAAACGACACTGGTTATGGAAGGGGCCACAGGCAATACTCTGGCTTCTGGGGCCATACAGTGGCTTGCGAAAGTATTCACCCCCCTTGGCTTTTTTCCTATTTTGTTGCCTTACAACCTGGAATTAAAATAGATTTTTTGGGGGTTTGTATCATTTGATTTACACAACATGCTACCACTTTGAAGATGCAAAATATTTTTATTGTGAAACAAACAAGAAATAATACCCAAAAAAAAACAGAAAACTTGAGCGTACATAACAATTCACCCCCCCAAAGTCAATACTTTGTAGAGCCACCTTTTGCAGCAATTACAGCTGCAAGTCTCTTGGGGTATGTCTCTATAAGATTGGCATATCTAGCCACTGGGATTTTTGCCCATTCTTCAAGGCAAAACTGCTCCAGCTCCTTCCAGTTGGATGGGTTCCGCTGGTGTACAGCAATCTTTAAGTCATACCACAGATTCTCAATTGGATTGAGGTCTGGGCTTTGACTAGCCCATTCCAAGACATTTCAATGTTTCCCCTTAAACCACTCAAGTGTTGCTTTAGCAGTATGCTTAGGGTCATTGTCCTGCTGGAAGGTGAACCTCCGTCCCAGTCTCAAATCTCTGGAAGACTGAAACAGGTTTCCCTCAAGAATTTCCCTGTATTTAGCGCCATCCATCATTCCTTCAATTCTGACCAGTTTCCCAGTCCCTGCCAATGAAAAACATCCCCACAGCATGATGCTGCCACCACCATGCTTCACTGTTGGGACGGTGTTCTCGGGGTGATGAGAGGTGTTGGGTTTGCGCCAGACATTGCGTTTTCCTTGATGGCCAAAAAGCTCAATTTTAGTCTCATCTGACCAGAGTAACTCCTTCCATATGTTTGGGGAGTCTCCCACATGGCTTTTGGCGAACACCAAACGTGTTTGCTTATTTTTTTCTTTAAGCAATGGCTTTTTTCTGGCCACTCTTCCGTAAAGCCCAGCTCTGTGGAGTGAACGGCTTAAAGTAGTCCTATGGACAGATACTCCAATCTCCGCTGTGGAGCTTTGCAGCTCCTTCAGGGTTATCATTGGTCTCTTTATTGCCTCTCTGATTAATGCCCTCCTTGCCTGGTCCGTTAGTTTTGGTGGGCAGCCCTCTCTTGGCAGGTTTGTTGTGGTGCCATATTCTTTCCATTTTTTTATAATGGATTTAATGGTGCTCCATGGGATGTTCAAAGTTTCTGATATTTTTTTATAACCCAACCCTGATCTGTACTTCTCCACAACTTTGTCCCTGACCTGTTTGGAGAGCTCCTTGGTCTTCATGGTGCCGCTTGCTTGGTGGTGCCCCTTGCTTAGTGGTGTTGCAGACTCTGGGGCCTTTCAGAACAGGTATATATATATATATATACACATATACACACATACTGAGATCATGTGACAGATCATGTGACACTTAGATTGCACACAGGTGGACTTTATTTAACTAATTATGTGACTTCTGAAGGTAATTGGTTGCACCAGATCTTATTTAGGGGCTTCATAGCAAAGGGGGTGAATACATATGCACGCACCACTTTTCCGTTATTTATTTTTTAGCATTTTTTTAAACAAGTTATTTTTTTCATTTCACTTCACCAATTTGGACTATTTTGTGTATGTCCAAATCATTTAAATTACAGGTTGTAATACAACAAAATAGGAAAAACGCCAAGGGGGATGAATACTTTTGCAAGGCACTGTATGTATCACGCATTGTGACCTAAAAGGCTAAACTGACGCTAAGTTAAATACACACCTTGTCTCCTCGATCTCCGCTTCTCTCTCCTCCTGAAGGAGCTCTAGGGTCTTGGACACAAAGCTTTCCACCTCCATTTCTCACTGAAAAATTACACAAGCATAATGATCCTTTTATGAAAAAAAGGTCTTTATAAATACATTTGCTTGATTGATTTCAAAACATAACACAAGTAGCTAAAGTCTGATGCTCTACCGAGGTTGCAGAAATATGATGACGTGTCGTGGGTACCAAGCTGATAGGGTGCTCCTGACAAACTGTGTAGATAATTCTTACATTTACATTCTATTTGAAGTTGGCTGGCGTTAGGAGCTGAAGGTTGTAACAAAACAAGCCATGCAATGAACGGGGACAAGCTCACAGCTTAAGTAGTGAACAGCTGGCTTTACAACATTAAAACCCATTCAGTCTGTCTACACCAGCCTCTCAAAGGGCTGGGTAGACATCATCACTGTAGCATCCACACACAGAATGAGCTCCTGTAGCATCCACACACAGAATGAGCTCCTGAGTTGGGAAAGCTTGTGCAATACACCGACGCGTGTCTTGTATTCCAGATCCTAAATGGATTTGCTTCCATTCAGCCACAAGAGCATTAATGAGGTCGGGCACTGATGTTGGGCGATTAGGCCTGGCTCGCAGTCGGCGTTCCAATTCATCCCAAAGTTCTTCCACACCGATCTCGACAAACCATTTTCTGTATGGACCTCGCTTTGTGCACGGGGGGCATTGTCATGCTGAAACAGGAAAGGGCCTTCCCCAAACTGTCGCCACCAAGTTGGAAGCACAGAATCGTCTAGAATGTCATTGTATGCTGTAGCATTAAGATTCCCCTTCACTGGAACTAAGAGGCCTAGCCCGAACCATGAAAAACAGCCCCAGATCATTACTCCTCCTCCACCAAACTTTACAGTTGGCACTATGCATTGGGGCAGGTAGCGTTCTCCTGGCATCCGCCAAACCCAGATTTGTCAGTCGGACTGCCAGATGGTGAACCGTTCTGTGAGCTTGTGTGGCCTACCACTTCGCAGCTAAGCCGTTGTTGCTCCTAGACGTTTCCACTTCACAATAACAGCACTTACAGTTGACCGGGGCAGCTCTAGCAGGGCAGAAATTTGACCAACTGACTTGTTGGAAAGGTGGCATCCTATGATGGTACCACATTCAAAGTAACTGAGCTCTTCAGTAAGGCCATTCTACTGCCAATGTTTGTCTATGGAGATTGCATGGCTGTGTGCTCCACTTTATACACCTGTCAGCAACGGGTGTGGCTGAAATAGCCGAATCCACTAATTTGAAGAGGTGTCCACATACTTTTGTATCTATAGTGTACCACCTATCGCACCTTCACAAAAAAAAAAACTAAAAAGACATGGCTAAAAGACAGACTTGTAAACACATTTACTAGCTGTGTATTGCTGATTTCCATGTTGTCTGTAGCTTGTGAGGTGTGGAAACACTTAGTTGCCTTTATGCATTTTGTTTTGTTGGGCTATTCCTCTGTCTGCATGCTACGTCTTGCTTGTCCTGTGTTGGTCACTGTTATTGGAATGGTTTTTAATAACCAGCCCAGGGACTGCGGTTGAAAATTAGTCGGCACTTTTACTGAAACGTTGATTAATGTGCACTGTCCCTGTAAAAAATAAACTCAATAACGTAAAAGATCCAGCTAGCTAGGTAGGCTAACTAGCTAGCCTACCATAGATCTATGGCTGCTACTGTCATTTAAGAAAACGACACACCAAAAAAACGGCAGATTAACAGTGTTAGCTATAATTCCCAACTCCTTATTAGATATCACTTCTATAACGACAGCAAACTAGTGTAGGTAAACAAAAAAAACTACCTGCTAGTTGAATCAGTTTGAGTTGAGCGAATTCATTATTTTCCTCTTCGGTGGAATAATGCGTCATTTAGTTGCAAACGTCTAATGTATATCGCCACCTGCTGAGCTGGAGCGAGGGTTAGGTTGAAAGTTGCTGAATAAATCTACAGACAGTTTATTTTCTTTGGTACCAAAAAAAGATTATTCTCTGTCCTTTGATTTTTCCTAGAAATGTTGTATGCTGTAATATCTGTTTATTTCATTGTGCAACTTCCATGAGCAAAAGTTCCAAATACAAAACTCTTATTTTGAAAACCACAATTGGAGGACCAGGGTCAGGAAACAGAGACTGTGGAGCATGTATTGCTACAGTGTGGGCAGGATCAGAGGGAAAGAGAGAGGATGAGATCTAGTATGAGGGAGAAGGGGATACAGGAAATTAGTTTAAAGAGTATGTTGAGTAGAACGTCATTAGATATAGTCTCACATATTTTGTTATCTTTTTTTTAAAAGAAACTGGGTTGGCAGGTAGGATTTAGTTTCTTCCTGTCTCTGGCCCACACCAGTACAGTAGGTGGCGGTAATGCGCCATAACGTTGGATGCCAACTGCCGATAAACCCCACTGAAGAAGAAGAAGAGGACCAGGAAGTGTCTCTTCTTTCTTTTTTCTTTTTTTGCTAGTTAGCTGTCAAAGAGCTCGTACTCACCATAGAGAACGATAGAGAAAGCATCCCTATATGGTTTTGATTATGGCGTCTGTGCGTGCACAGGCAGGCGCTAACTCCGCCATGGTTCGTTGGACAAAGCCTATGGGAAAATGAATGGAGTTTTTGTAGGGGTTTTGGATAAACTCCAAAAATAAGGTCTGTGGTAAACACAGGCTTAGGAGATCTTATACGTTTTGGTCTATGTGATCATCTTCATCAGCTAACGTCACTTTTTGTGAATATTGAAGCATTTATGTAATAAAAAAAAGCACATAAAGGCTTGATAATTCATGAAGGTCATGTTAACTGACTGATATTATCATAGAACAAAACATAAAGGCTTGATAATTCATGAAGGTCATGTTAACTGACTGATATTATCATAGAACAAAACATAAAGGCTTCATAATTCATGAAGGTCATGTTAACTGACTGATATTATCATAGAACAAAACATAAACGCTTCATCATTTATAAAGGTCATGTTACCTGACTGATATTATCATAGAACAAAATGTATAAGATTTCCTAAACCAGTGTTAACCTTATTTTCTGCGTTTATCCCAAAACCCTATATTTCCCCATTAATTTTCCCCATAGGAATGGCTGAACGAACCAGAGGTAACTCATTATATGGGTTTTAGGACTACAAACTGGCGAGCTCTATTGAGGCAACCTCCATTTTGAAGTAGTCCATTTTCTTCTTCACGATTGGCTGATCCCTCCTGATGACCCTGTTGGACTCCAAGAGGGATCAGCCAATGAATTGTGAATTTCTTACCCAGTTGATCACATTAAAATGGCGAAAGCCCTCAATGGCGCTGCCAGAGTGAGAGTGGGGAAGAACAAACAAGACACAACCTGAAAGTTGTGTCGAGACGGAAAAGATGGCGGAAGCAGACGATGAAGTGGATTCTGAATCTAATGGCGGTAGAATCAAGGAGAATTTGAATATTGTCCAAAATAATGGAAAACGGAGCAAAGTAAGGTACAGTGATGTCACTTCCTATCTTGTAGGAGGACGGTTTGTTAATGAGGAGCAGCTGATCGAATTACCAATCTTGAGGAATCCATTTGAGCTATCCAAACTGGTGGAGAGAGTGCTGGGTAGAGTGAAGGCTGTGAGGATCACGAGAGGCAGGGCTTGTTTTGATTTTTTGTGCTTCTGAGGATCAGAAGAAATGTGTGTTGCGTCTCACCCGATTTGATCCGTTTGAAGTGTGGTGTGTGTCCCTTAGGAACAGGGCACCCCTCAAGGGGGTCATTTCTGGACTCTCCTGGGAAGTAGATGTTGAAGAGATGAAAAATATTACTGGAGTGATTGATGCACGTTGGATGAATCGTGTGGTGAATGAAGAAAAAGTGAAGAGTCTATCTGTTCTTTTGTTTTTTGATATGGAGTCTCTCCCTACTCAAGTGCAGTTGGGGTGTATTAACTACAGAGTCAGAGCATCTATCCCAAGACCAATGCAGTGTGATCACTCGAAAGCTTTTGGTCATGTTTCAAGTGTTTGCAGAAGGGAGAAGCCGAGATGTCCAAGTTGTGGAAAAGATCATATCATGTGTTATAAAAGTGATGAAAACGTGACATGTTGCCATTGTGTTGGGAACCATGAAGCCACGTCTGTTGAATGCCCCACAAGGGTGAAAGAGAGTGAGGTGGCCAAAGTCAGGGCTGTACAGAACATTTCATATGCAGCAGCTGTTAAAAGGGTTGAAGGTTTGAATGGTGCTCCTGAAGAGTCCATGGTGGTGGATAGGCCTTCACTGCAGGCTGCAGGTCCAGGAAGATATAAATCATTGTGGAAGCGGCGGAGCGGTTCCTGGGGCTGAAAGATTTCTCTGCGAAGGAGTTACATGTAATATTGTCACAAGCCGTACCAGCGTCTCAGGCCCTAGAGTCTGAGAATGGAGATATGGAGATTTGAAAGAAGGAAGAAGTGGGAGTTTTGTTAATGTACTATATTTATTTGGGTGGATTAAGTTAGTTTCCATGTCACCTATGGATTTTCTTTTTTGACCTCGTTTTGGTTTCAACCCGTCCAGTTGGTGGCGGCAATACACCTTTTCGGGTTGTAGTCCGCCATAAAACCGTCAGAAGAAGAAGAATGGCGCTGCCCATGAGAATACCTGTTGACATCGCCTTTTGGCCACTAGAGTTCTCTATCATTCTCTATGGTTCACACAGATACAAGGACCTGCAACTAACTACATGGGTAGAGTTGAGTGAGATTGCTAGTATATTCGTGATTTCTCACTGGTTATAATTCATATAAAAATGTTGAATTGGCAGTGGGCACCATGCATCTTTGGGTGTCTAGCTGACTCGATAACAATAACATCGTAACTCTAGCCAGGCAGCGTGATTTTGGCCGGAACTCACAAATGCTTCCGACACAGTTTCCTGTATCACACTAGCTAGAACTTGTAATTATCTGATTGGATAAGTTAGCTAGAAATCCGTTTTTCATTTCGTGTTGGTGCAGCCAACTGCAGTAGCAGCAATTGGTATCATTCCCTGTCTCTGTGTAGCTTGACTCAGAGGAGAAGATGAGAGCAGAAGCGATGTTCATCCTTGTGCTACACACCATCCTGTCTGCGCTGTTGGTCAGCGATGTTAGTGCTACACTGTCCAGGACTGATGCCAAGAAGAAGGACTCCAAAACACAAGAGCCAGAGGTGAGGAAGAGGAGGATAGTGGTGATTTTATGATGAGGATGAGTGGTGGAATCACTCTTTTCCATCCTGGAACCAGTGTATGTAATGGCCTCAATTAGCTACGCATATTATGGACACTGGAGTTAAATGTCCTTAGCTAGGGCTCAGCCCATGTGTGTGGGGAAAGTGTGGACTTTGTATTCCCCCTCTACCCAGTTCTGATTTCAGTAAATGACCAGTATTGTAGAAGGGACATAGACCACAATGAATGAATGATATAAATTGTCACTGTTTGTTCAGCTAGTCTCATCCCAGTTCCCACTGTTGCTGTGTATTCCTCCAAGACTACCAGGGTTGGGGGTCAATTCAGGAAGGTGATTTTGAAGTTAAAAAACTTTTAGAAATACATTTTCTGCCTTTTTCAGGTTATTGAGGAAACCATTGAAAATAGATGCCCTTTTTTCCAATGATTTTGAATTGGAATTTCAGTTTACTTCCTGAATTGACAGCCTTCAAATTCGAATGGACCCCAACCCTGGAGACTACAGTTGGTCTGGTTTTTACAACTACACACGCAGATCGTTTTATCTTGTGTTTTGTGTATTATTGTTGTTATATCAGACGTCCCAGGCGGAGCAGTCGGTGCTGGAGCGAGGTCTTGTTGTTGCTGACCCTCAGTGGAAGGACATCGTAAAGGAGGAGAGGAGATACTGCCAACGGGCTGTGACTAAACACACGTTCCAAGGGCCCGTGCTGGGATATATAACTCCTGTAAGTGCAGTGCTTGATTTGGGCATGAGCTCTCATGGGAGCTGAGATCCGGCAACACAAAAGTTATACTGCTTGACTTCCTGCACCTCTTATAAAAACGATTGGCTTAAAAGTATTGCATAGTTCCTCGACCCTAAATATAAACAGTACCGACACCTATTTTAGTCTATTGTCAGGCGCTGTTTAAGTCCGTAAAAGCAGGTTGGTGTGTTGGTTTGTAGCCAGGTTTAACCAGACTGAACGCTGCGATCACCTTTGAACAACAGTTAAACTTGGTCCTCTACAGAAATGTTGTCAATTTTTGCCTGCAGATCAGCCTTTAATCCAGAACCTGGTGTACTCCTTGTACTCCATGTTTAGCATGGCAAGGAGGAGCATGATAACTCAGTACAGACTGGTACCTAGCCTACCTGCAGGTACCAATGTGTATATCTGGTTGATTCTGATCACCCTGCTTTTACTGTTTTAATGTGTGTGTTTTAATAGTGGAACTATTATGTTACTACTGTTGTGTAAAAGCTATATCTCATCAATAGGCTCCTTGAATACTTTCTGAATCAATTCTTCATATAACCTCTCACTTTCTCTCTCTCACTTTCTCTCTCTCACTTTCTCTCTCTCACTTTCTCTCTCTTCGCTTTCTTTTCCCATCCTCCAGTGGAACTCCCATGGTTACGATGTTGCCAAGGTGTTTGGTTCCAAGCTGACCTCTGTGTCTCCAGTGTGGCTTCAGCTGAGACGGAGAGGACCAGAGAGCTTCCATATCACCGGTCTTCATGACCATGACCCAGGTAAGGGGACCAGAGAGCTTCCATATCACCGGTCTACATGACCATGACCCAGGTAAGGGGACCAGAGAGCTTCCATATCACCGGTCTTCATGACCATGACCCAGGTAAGGGGACCAGAGAGCTTCCATATCACCGGTCTTCATGACCATGACCCAGGTCTGCCATAGACTAGCAGGAGTAATGTCAGCCAAACGTTGTGAAGTTGTCAGCCAGAGTTGTGATGTTGTCAGACAAAAGTTGTGATGCCTAAGAAATATGTACATTTACTAAGGGAGTAGATGTGAAATATAGAGAAAATATAGAAAGTTGTGTCTTTCAAAGATAAAAACTCTCTCCTTCTTTTGTAGGTTGGGTAAAAGCTGTGCGGAAGGCAAACAAAAAAATCAAAATGCGTAAGTGTATGTTAAACTCAGCTTTTTTTACTTTAAGTATATTCCCAGATGACCTCACTACGGTATCATTCAGTCACCTGCAGCTCCAATGATCACTCTCCTTCTGGTCAAACTCTCCTTCTGGTCAAACTCTCCTTCTGGTCAAACTCTCCTTCTGGTCAAACTCTCCTTCTGGTCAAACTCTCCTTCTGGTCAAACTCTCCTGCTCTCTAGTCCTAAAATAGGGCCCGGTGTTTGGTAATCATGTGACATGTCTGGATTTGAACGTTTATTTCAATATTTTTCATCAAACTGTCCCCTTGTCTTTTTATGTCAGATGGTCCAGCACTGTACTCAGACAACTGCTTTCATTTTTGGTGTAATTCTCATTTCTGGACGAGGCTTAAAATACGGGATAGAATCTTGCTGTATTTCACATGATTCCCAAACACATGGCACATGATCCTGTTCTTCTCTTCTCTTCCGCTCAGTTCCTCGCCTGTTATTTGACGGCTGGTCGTACCAGGACTATATGAGTGTTCTTGGCAGTGAGGATGAGATCGAGGAGCTGGGGACTGAGATGGTGGACGTAGCTAAGGTAAGGAGGGGCATTTTTGCTTTATTCAGACATTTTGGGACACTGTAAAGTCCATGGTGAATAAGAGCACCTCCTCCCAGCTGCCCACTGCACTGAGGCTAGGAAACACTGTCACCACCGATAAATCTACAATAATCGAGAATTTCAACAAGCATTTTGCTACGGCTGGCCATGCTTTCCACCTGGCTACCACTACCCCGGCCACCAGCTCTGCACCCTCCGCTGCAACTTGCCCATGCCCCCCCCCCCGCTTCTCCTTCACACAAATTCAGACAGCTGATGTTCTGAAAGAGCTGAAAAATCTGGACCCCTACAAATCAGCTGGGCTAGACAATCTGGACCCTTTCTTTCTAAAATTAGCTGCCGAAATTGTCGCAACCTCTCTTTCGTAACGTCTGAGATCCCCAGAGATTGGAAAGCTGCCGCGGTCATCCCCCTCTTCAAAGGGGGTGACACTCTAGATCCAAACTGTTACAGACCTGTATCCATCCTGTGCTGCCTTTCGAAAGTTTTTGAAAGCCAAGTTAACAAACAGATCACCGACCATTTCGAATCCCACCGTACCTTCTCCGCTATGCAATCCGGTTTCCGAGCTGGTCATGGGTGCACCTCAGCCACGCTCAAGGTCCTAAACGATATTATAACCGCGATTGATAATAGACAGTACTGTGCAGCCGTCTTCATCGACCTGGCCAAGGCTTTCGACTCTGTCAACCACAGCATTCTTATTGACCTCCCGAGTGGCGCAGTGGTCTAAGGCAGTGCTAGCTGTGCCACTAGAGATCCTGGTTCGAATCCAGGCTCTGTCGTAGCCGGCCGCGACCGGGAGACCCATGGGGCGGCGCACAATTGGCCCAGCGTCGTCCAGGGTAGGGGAGGGAATGGCCGGCAGGGATGTGGGTTTGACTCCCACGGGGGGCCAGTATGAAAAAAATATATTTTAAAAAAAAAATACAAAAATATAAAAAATGATGTATGCACTCACTAACTGTAAGTCGCTCTGGATAAGAGTAAATGTAAAATGTAAATATAAATGTTATTGGCAGACTAAATAGCCTTGGTTTCTCAAATGACTGCCTCACCTGGTTCACCAACTACTTCTCAGATAGAGTTCAATGTGTCAAATCGGAGGGCCTGTTGTCTGGACCTCTGGCAGTCTCTGGGGGTGCCACAGGGTTCAATTCTTGGGCCGACTCTATTCTCTGTGTATATCAATGATGTCGCTCTTGCTGCTGGTGACTCTCAGATCCACCTCTATGCAGACGACACCATTTTGTATACATCTGGCCCTTCATTGGACACTGTGTTAACAAACCTCCAAACGAGCTTCAATGCCATACAACACTCCTTCAGTAGCCTCCAACTGCTCTTAAACACTAGTAAAACTAAATGCATACTCTTCAATCAAACGCTGCTGGCACCCGCCCACCCGACTAGAATCACTACTCTCGGCGGGTCTGACCTAGAGTATGTGGACAACTACAAATACCTAGGTGTCTGGTTAGACTGTAAACTCTCCTTCCAGACTCACAATAAGCATATCCAATCCAAAGTTCAATCTAGAATCGGCTTCCTATTTCGCAACAAAGCCTCCTTCACTCATGCTGCCAAACATGCCCTCGTAAAACTGACTATCCTACCGATCCTTGACTTCGGCGATGTCATTTACAAAATAGCCTCCAACACCCTACTCAGCAAATTGTATGTAGTCTATCACAGTGCCATCCGTTTTGTCACCAAAGCCCCATACACTACCGACCACTGTGACCTGTACGCTCTTGTTGGCTGGTCCTCAATACATATTTGTTGCCAAACCCACTGGCTCCAGGTCATCTATAAATCACTGCTAGGCAAATCTCCGCCTTATCTTAGCTCATTGGTCACCATAGCAACACCCACCCGTAGTCTGCGCTCCAGCAGGTATATCTCACTGGTCATTCCCAAAGCCAACACCTCCTTTGGCCGCCATTCCTTCCAGTTCTCTGCTGCCAATGACTGGAACGAGCTGAAAAATCTCTAAAGCTGGAGACTCTTATCTCCCTCACTAACTTTAAGCGTCAGTTGTCAGAGCACCTTACCGATCACTGCACCTGTACACAGCCCATCTGAAATTAGCCCACCCAACTACCTCATCCCCATATTGTTATTTATTTTGCTAATTTGCACCCCAGTATCTCTATTTGCACATCATCTCTTGCACATCTATCATTCCAGTGTTAATACTAATTGTAATTATTTTGCACTATGGCCTATTTATTGCCTTACCTCCATAACTTGCTACATTTGCACACACTGTATATATATTTTCTGTGATATTTTTGACTTTATGTTTTGTGTTACCCCATATGTAACTCTGTGTTGTTGTTTTTATCGCACTGCTTTGCTTTATCTTGGCCAGGTCGCAGTTGTAAATGAGAACTTGTTCTCAACTGGCTTACCTGGGTAAATAAAGGTGAAATAAAAAATTAAACAGAAAAGAAACAGCTTGGAGGGAGACAAAATGGGAAAGGAGGAGACGGGGATCAAACCCTGGTCTCTGGGGTACCAGGTCTGTCCATGTGGGCTCCCGAGTGGCGCAGCGGTCTAAGGCACTGCATCTCAGTGGTCTAAGGCACTGCATCTCAGTGGTCTAAGGCACTGCATCTCAGTGGTCTAAGGCACTGCATCTCAGCGGTCTGAGGCACTGCATCTCAGTGGTCTAAGGCACTGCATCTCAGCGGTCTGAGGCACTGCATCTCAGCGGTCTAAGGCACTGCATCTCAGCGGTCTAAGGCACTGCATCTCAGTGCTTGAGGCGTCACTACAGACCGAGTGGCGCAGCGGTCTAAGGCACTGCATCTCAGTGCTTGAGGCGTCACTACAGACCCCCTGGTTCGATTCCAGGCTGAATCACAACCGGCCGTGATTGGGAGTCCCATAGGGCGGCGCACAATTGGCCCAGCGTCGTCCGGGTTTGGCCGGTGTAGGCCGTCATTGTAAATAAGAATTTGTTCTTAACTGACTTGCCTAGTTAAATAAAGGTAAAATAAAAAAAACAATTAAAAAAAAACATAAGGAGTTGAATTCACGATATAATACTAATAGTAATGCAGTATAGTACATTTATATAACATCAGTTGGCAAGTGAGATTGAAAACAATTTACCAACCGCCAAAAAGCTGAATGTGTTGTGTGTTTTTCTAACGGTAAATATGATCAGTAGGAGGCCCCAAAGTGACTGTTTGTTGCAGACGTTGACTTCCGCTGTTTATTTCATAGGAGTGTATCCTGAATGACTAACATGTCAAATGTAAATGCTAATTGTGTTCTGCCTTTGCAGACAGAAGGCTTTGACGGCTATACACTGGAGCTGTGGAGTCAGTTAGGAGGGAACAAGAGACAGTGAGTAACCCAGTACGACGTGATACCATTACCTGTCTTAGCCATGTTAAGAACCCCTCTGAACCCGTCTTAGCCATGTTAAGAACCCGTCTTAGCCATGGTAAGAACCCCTCTGAACCCGTCTTAGCCATGGTAAGAATCCCTCTGAACCTGTCTTAGCCATGGTAAGAACCCCTCTGAACCTGTCTTAGCCATGGTAAGAATCCCTCTGAACCTGTCTTAGCCATGGTAAGAACCCCTCTGAACCTGTCTTAGCCATGGTAAGAACCCCTCTGAACCTGTCTTAGCCATGGTAAGAACCCCTCTGAACCTGTCTTAGCCATGGTAAGAACCCCTCTGAACCTGTCTTAGCCATGGTAACAACCCCTCTGAACCTGTCTTAGCCATGGTAAGAACCCCTCTGAACCTGTCTTAGCCATGGTAAGAACCCCTCTGAACCTGTCTTAGCCATGGTAAGAACCCCTCTGAACCTGTCTTAGCCATGGTAAGAATCCCTCTGAACCTGTCTTAGCCATGGTAACAACCCCTCTGAACCTGTCTTAGCCATGGTAAGAACCCCTCTGAAGACACATTTTGAACCGTAGTTTGTATTTACTGTAAACACTATTCCATTCAGGGAGCTGGTCCACATGGTGACACACATCTGTGAGGCTCTTAAGGAGAAGAAACTGGACTGTGTACTGGTCATTCCGCCAGCCGTCACACCAAGGTAGGTGATACAGACGTCACAGAAATATCACAACATGATTGATTTACTATTTTAGCAGATCATTAAAACACAGCCCGGCTGAATTTTGTAGAACATTTTAGAGACCTTGGCGGTGTAGATACATGTATTTTGTATTTTTAATACAATTTCCTGCAATTCTACAGATGTCTCCATGGAGCTGGGAGAAAACGTTGCAGATTTAAAGCTAATTTCCTGCAATTCTATGCATTATGCCATGGCTAAAGCTGTGTTCTTTTCCTCAAACATAATACAATCAATACTGTTAAATTCATTGTTTTTGTCATTTTCAATTCTCCTTGAATGTCTAGCTTTTATTTGGGTGATTGTTAGTTCTCAAAGATTATATTATTAAAAAATCTATAGGTCTGTTAAGGGAAAAAGGTGAGCAGTCATTGATAAAGTAAATCAAAAATCAATCCGTTGCAACAGGGAGACAACCTCCAGCGTTGGAGCGTAGAAGAATGTGTAACAGGCCTAGAGAAGGACTTTAGAACCACTATCAGGAACAACTGTTCTGTCAACAATGTCACTAAATCCTGTAGGAACTCTAAGCAAGGCGTAGTGACCCTGGGCTAATGGTACCGAAGATGAAATCAGCTGCTCCAGAATCACACCAGTGAGAGAGGCTTGTAGGAAGATGACATTAGCTGCTCCAGAATCACAGAGTCACAGATCCATTATCATTATCATTATTATCATTATCATTATCATTATCATTATTATCATTATCAGTGTGTCCTTGAATCCGGTCTGGCATCAAACTTTAACCAGAACATTTGATAGTGGCAGTTTAACAGGTCATCAACGGGTATGACTTTAACTCATCTTAAATTCCCTGTTATCTTTCCTACATACTTTATATCTGGTTTTAGTAGTTTTTAATTTACACTGAATGTGTTTTTCCATCCCGAAAATACATTGCAATGTTTTGACTTAAGCATCCCGGAAGAATGCTTAGGCTGCCCGCCCAAGGATTTCAATGGCAGGAAAATCCCTGCAATACCATTCGTACCATGTCTTTGATCTAACTGATCCATGTAATAACGGCAGGGAGGAGGTTCATCTTTCTGTTGTGATCAGTTCAGGCCAGCCGGGGATGTTCGGGAGAGAGGAGTTTGAGCAGTTAGCTCCCGTAGTGGACGGATTCAGTCTAATGACCTACGACTTCTCCTCTGGACGGTAAGATTTCCTTCTCACTGAAACAATCACATCCTTTCATTAAAAATATTATATTCGTAAAATGACCATCACTGAACATTTGACAGATGTTATAGGCCACTCCTATGTTGTTAGTATATCAGTATGTCAGGTTCTCTGCTCCCTCCTAGACCGGGCCCCAGCTCCCCTCTACCCTGGGTCAGAGAATGTGTTCTAGAGTTGTCCCCCAACACCCAATGGAGGCACAAGATACTGCTGGGACTGAACCTGTATGGACAGGACTTCTCCACCCACGGAGCTGAACCACTGCTGGGGGGCAGGTAGGATACTCCTAATAATACTTAATACGGGTAGTCGTTCTCTAGTAGCAGTAATCTATACAGAAGACGGTACAGAAACTGCCAGGTTATTTTATGGGACAGAAATGGCCTCTCTCTTTCTGTCACCTCCAGTCCCCCTTCACCTATCTCTCTCTCTTTCTGTCACCTCCAGTCCCCCTTCACCTCTCTCTCTCTCTCTTTCTGTCACCTCCAGTCCCCCTTCACCTCTCTCTCTCTCTCTTTCTGTCACCTCCAGTCCCCCATCTCTCTCTCTTTCTGTCACTTCCAGTCCACCTTTACCTCTCTCTCTCTCTCTCTCTCTTTCTGTCACCTCCAGTCCCCCTTCACCCCCCTCTCTCTCTCTCTTTCTGGTATTTCCTGTAAAGGTTAATTGAGCTATTGAAGGAGCTGAAGCCTAGACTACGTATTACCCAGCAATAACACGAGTTACTCCATATAATATTCAACAGGCAAATAGTTTAGATTTATACTCCTTTCCCAGACCTTATCCCCCTTCCTTTCTTCTCTTCCCTGTAAAGGTTCATTGAGCTCTTGAAGGAGCTGAAGCCCAGACTACTATGGGATGACCAGGCTGAGGAGCACTACTTCAGTTACAAGAGGTACAGTTAGTCTACTTCAGCTTCATATTATGACAACTCAAAGAACCATCATTCCCAGATTATATGAAGTGCAGTTTCCATTCAGGTCTCCTTTTATTTACAGTTTTTGTGAAGAAATGGGGCTTGTCTTGTCTGATATCTTGCCAGTATCATCACACCACAATAACTCACTTGATTTTATGTTCCACATTCTAGGAGCAATGGAGTCAAGCATGTGGTCTATTACCCAACACTGAAGGTATGACCTTTTGACCTCCATTTGATGTACAGAATACATCAGACACCATATACATCTGCAGATGATTCTCAAAATAACCAAATAAATACACACGTATAGAGTATCATGGCACACCAGGTTTAAGTTAAGTTGATTAATGATCAAACATTTTCCAGAAACACAGATCCTTATCATGTATTGCCCTCTTCTCCAGAAACACAGATCCTTATCATGTATTGCCCTCTTCTCCAGAAACACAGATCCTTATCACGTATTGCCCTCTTCTCCAGAAACACAGATCCTTATCACGTATTGCCTTCTTCTCCAGAAACACAGATCCTTATCATGTATTGCCCGCTTCTCCAGAAACACAGATCCTTATCACGTATTGCCTTCTTCTCCAGAAACACAGATCCTTATCACGTATTGCCTTCTTCTCCAGAAACACAGATCCTTATCACGTATTGCCTTCTTCTCCAGAAACACAGATCCTTATCATGTATTGCCTTCTTCTCTGCATCTCTCCCTCTCTTCTCTAGTCTCTCCATCAACGAATCTCCTTAGCCACTGAGTTAGGTACAGGAATCTCCATGTGGGAACTGGGTCAGGGATTGGACTATTTCTACGATCTTCTATGAGAAAGACACTCAAGCTCCTTTCTTTAGCAAATTAATCAACCGCTAAAATATCTGCAAATGTACAGTCCATGGTAATATTTGCTGAGCACCAACTAGCATGAGGATTACACTGTTATTTCTTTGACTACCTGGAATGAACGACGTCTCTTATCTCATGAAGACCAGGGTGATCATCGGTTGATTGTAGGAGACGGAGGCCAAGTTGTGTATACAGAGTAAATGTGACTGAACTAAGGAACTTGAAGCTGCCAACTTGGCAAGAGTTAGTTAATCATCCATCAAAGCAGCTTTCAACTGGGGCTTATAACAGGGTTATTATGGGATGTGGCACACAGAAGGTGTTCATGTTTTTAAATGGAAATACTGATATGAAATGGTAAGATAGAATAATACATAATATCATTTTTAAGGTCTGGTTTCCCGGACAGAGATGAAGCCTAGTCCTGAATCTCAATTGAAAATAGATTTTTAGTCCAGGACCAGGCATGTTTGTCAGGGTGACCGTTATAAATCAGACATTAGTCTGCTGCCCACTGCAGGAATGTGTTATGTTTCTTTAGAAGACATTTGACATGAAATAAAAAAGGTACATTGTTCAGTGTTGTTTTTTTAATATAAAAATGTAATCGACAATAGAAATTGAAGTCCTACATAGATACAGTGCTACTTTTTCTAATACCTTCACTGGTTGCTGCTTGATTAGGTTTGACATGTGGTAGCCGATCTAGAAGTACTAGAAACAGCTACTGTACTGCAGGGCTGGGGTCAATTCCATTTAAATTCCAGTCAATTCAGGAAGTGAACTGAAATTCCAATTCTCTTCAATGCTTTGTAGCTCAGCTGGTAGAGCACGGCGCTTGTAACGCCAGGGTAGTGGGTTCGATCCCCGGGACAACCCATACGTAAAAATGTATGCACGCATGACTGTAAGTCGCTTTGGATAAAAGCGTCTGCTAAATGGCATATAATTTATATTATTATAAGGAAAAATTGGAATCTAATTGTAATTTGGTTGACTTACTTTCTGAATGGAAATGGAATTGACCCAACCCTGGTGTACAATACATAAAACAGGAGTCACACGTACAGCATGTCCTCAAGGCCCAACTAAACGTCATGATCAAATATATTACTAAATCCCTTTTTACCCAGACCCTTTATATTTGTCCTTCATATAACTAAATGTAAAGGAAGTCTACTTTGAGGTTTTGCTTCTGTATTTGAAAGGTTCCGTTTTCTTACTGTATTGTATGAGCCGTGTCTGCTAAATGATATCGATCATATCCCGTTCATGTCAAAATAAGGCTGGGATTTAAATCCGATCGCGCTTTGTGGGCAATGCACCTTTTAAAGAGCCATGGAACACGCAGATTGGCCAGTGTTTTTCTGTTGCTCATTAGAAAAACCACATTTCAGTCTTGCAGGTGTGTTTCCTGACCGATTCCGTGTTTGGTTAATTATGTTTGTCCCCCATGAGACACTGTAGACGCGACAGCCAATTTTCACTTCCTCAAAATCCCCAGAATGAATCTAAGATAACTCAATACATCTGTAATAAATGTAGACGTTTTTGCCAAGGATGTTTTAGTTGTGTAATTTTACATCTAAGGTGTTTGGTGCAGTATTTCTCAAGTAAAGAAATGCGTGACTTGTTGTCTTATGTGAACAAAGTCGACGCTGCTGAGCAGGTCTGTCTCACTTGTCTATGCTATTGGATAGAGAGCAATCACTGCAGCTGTTCACCCCATGTTAGCGGGCAAAAGGACATTGTCAAATCAAAACCCCAACCTTCATTTACCCGTAGTGACGCACGGATGTTCCAAACTCTGTTTTAGATGACTGACTTTATGACCAGAATTATCCTATTTACACTTTGTAGTAAATGTTGACACTAGAACAACAGTTTCTAACTCATATCAATACCAAATTGGCCGTTTTCAAATGGATTTGTTGCTTTTTAAAAGGCAGTTGCTCTTTAAAGGCAATGTTCCCGCACATTCATGGTAAATGCTGCATATGTTGATTCAATGGCAGATTACCTTTAAGTGGCACATAGCCGACAAAGCACGATCGGATTGAATCCCGGCCAAGGCTTGTTAGCTTGGTCCCTACGTAGCAGAACAGAAGACATGTTACTTTCCATTACAGAGCATGATGAGGTTATTGACAGCGACTGACGTAGACTGTATGTTCTGTCCGGTCACCAGGTGTCTGTCGATCACTACATGCATGGCATCCTCCTGACTAGCTGGAAAAGAACAGCGATATGGAAATACGTCAGGTTACACACAACACTAACATCCACATCAGAGTCCTATTGATTGGGTTCCTGGCTTCCTGCGGTGTTCAACACTACTTCCTCATGTGTAGAGACCTGAGACCAATCAGATCTCTGTACATTCTGAAGTAGTGTTGAACATGGCAGGAAACCAATCAATATGATTTACTGATAGGGTCGCAAAATTCCACTAACTTTCCCCACCAAAAAACAGGTTTTCCAGAAATCCTGGTTGTGGTATTCTGGATTGTATTGCTTATTCCATCCTGATTCTGGGACTCTTCCAACCCTGATTTTTTGGAAAGTTACCGGAATTTTGCAACCCTACTTATTGATCATTTGAGCAACTCCTCTGCAATGTAGATCTCCTGAAACAACAACAACACTGTGCTGTAATGTTGACCTCCTGGAACAACAATACTAGTTATCTCCCACACTCACCGGTGTATGATCCTCCGCTGTCCTTGACAAAGTCCTCCACGATCAGAGGCAGGTTGGCAAAGTCTGGGCTCCTCACCAGCTCAAATACAGACGGCTGGGAAATAACACAACCGGGAGACTGGGAGTTGTATAAAACGAGTAACCATATCTTTTAAAGCTAATCGGGTATATCATTGGCTTTTATGGATTTGGAATGTGGAGGTATTTCCCCCCCTTAAAGAGACACTAACCCCTGTGAGACTGTAGCCAGAGAAGATCCACCTCTGTCCCTCTACTACGGCGCAGCACAGACCAGATACACCTTGTCCCACAGCGCACACCGGCTCTGGTAGGTACAGACATGGTAGTGTCATGCAAAACAACGTCTCACAAACCACGCGACAATGTTTGACAATATTAGTTTCTAAACGTTTTGAGTCCCAAGATTTAGCTGGATGGCTGAAGTGTTGCAGACTGTGATAGAAATGTTAAGGTCATTTCCTCTTCAGCCGACACATGCAGCGTTTACCATGAATGCAGGAACATTACCTTTTACATTTGTATTGGGCTTTAGCGGATTGAATAAAGACCTGATCTGGGTTAGGGGGATCTGCCCTATAGAGAGCTACACTAGAGACTAGGGGGATGGAGCACAGGGTACTAACTCTGCTGTGAGGTGAAGTGTGCGAGGATACGTGCCAGAGAGCCACTGTGCGCCAGGTCAGTGAGAGCCCCAGGACAGTCTGGAATCAGCAGAGCTTGGTACCGAGCACCTGGAATAGAGTGACGGTCATGACATCATCACGTGACCGTCGGCAAAGTATTATGCCAATTATTTCCATTTGTAATGATCTTAACAGTCAAAAGAATTGACCGCTGAATTACTGTCTAACAACTAACACATTTTGGACGAGGCTAAGAAGTATACAAAGGCTACATACTTTTTAACATGTTTAGTCATTTAGCAGATGCTCTTATCCAGAGCGACTTACAGGAGCAATTAGGGTTAAGTGCCTTGCTCAAGGGCACATCGACAGATTTTTCACCTAGTCGGCTCGGGGATTAGAACCAGCGACCTTTCGGTTACTGGCACAACGCTCTTAAAAATTAAGCTACCTGCCGCATGTAATCATAAGTGGATCTTACCATCTATTGACTCCAACTTGGCTGGGGTTGCAAAAGACTTTTGGCTGAAGTCTTGTACCCATCTGGCTGTGGTTTCATCCACCCCGACAAAATCTATGGGCTTCCCCTGGAAATAACAAAAAGACACCAACATCGTGTGTGTGTTTTTCGGTGTGTGTTTGTCTGTTTGTGGGTCTGTGTTTTTCGGTGTGTGTTTGTGGGTCTGTGTTTTTTCGGTGTGTGCGTCTCCGTGTGTGTCTCACCCCTGGTGTCGCCGTCTGCAGGTTGAACACCGAACTGCAGAGACAGAAGGCTTGATGGAACGACCGAGCAGACACTCCTGTTGAGAGAAGAGAGAATTGACACACAGTAGGCTAGCCACTAAAGCAGCAGCATGATAAGCCATTCATGGTGATGATTGTACGATATGATAATGATTATGTGTCAAACAAACAAGCCGGGATAAGATATAAGCACAGCTATAAATTATTAATATTGCCATTTTTGAAACAGAAAAGATACTGTAAAACATGACTAATATGGGTACAGTAGCTATCAAGTTAGTTCAAATATGAAGACGCATTGTGTCCGTCACATGACATACACCTACAGTCAGCAGCGCCAGTTTGAGGCGCTCATATCGACAGAAGTGGATAAAGTGAAATGTTAATAATATGTCAACGCATTCAGTAGTTAACGCCTACCTTGTGCAGCTGCACTGGCCACAATTAGACAAGTGGGTTTAGAAGACATTTTAGTGGTTTATCAAAATCAAATCCGTTGCCTACCACCACAGACCATTAACCAAAAAAAATATGAAAACAGGAAGTGATCACAGTTCAACTTCCGTTTCATCTAGCCAATGACAGTACAACACCCGTTTTCACACTGAACGAATTTCAAAATAAAAGTCTTAGGTAGATCGGATGGTAGCAAGTGAAGAGAGCTTAAAACAATGTGAATATCTTTGACAAAAACGCTTCTTCTTCTTCTTCTTCAATGAGGTTTAACGGCGGTTGGCAGCCAATAAATGTTGTATTACCGCCACCTACTAGACTGGAGTACAACTCCCTTATAATAATAATAATAATAATAATAATAATAATAATAATAATAATAATAAATAATAATAATATGCCATTTAGCAGACGCTTTTATCCAAAGCGACTTACAGTCATGCGTGCATACATTTTTTTGTGTACGTGTGGTCCCGGGGATCGAACCCACTACCTTGGCGTTACAAGCGCCGTGCTCTACCAGCTGAGCTACAGAGGACCACTTTGCTTTAAAAAAAAAATACAACAAAAAAATATATAATAATAATAATAATAATAATAATAACTACCATCCTCCACTATTTACATCTATTTATTCCTACCTCTGGCTAACAGTCTGAAAGGATGGGACGCCACCACTTAACACACCCTGTAACTCTTCTGATGTCAAGTCTCGCACACCCAAATACCTCTCTGCAGCTGCCACCACAACATCTATTTTCTGCGACTTATGTTCCATCCCTGCAGTACAGTTGATAACCATTGCTATAAATGGCTAAAATCCAATCTTACTGAAACATATATCACTTGTTGGTTTATCCCTCTGTACTGGTACAGATCTACTACTCACACCACTCCTCTCAGGATCCCTCCCCCTTGACCCATCTTCCTCTACTTCCTTCACTGCCTCCGCATATGACAACTTCTGCTCTAACCCTGGAAACCTCAACCTGCCTTTCTCGCACCGGACATTTCTGATCCCCAGCCCCATGGCCACCCCTACAATAGCACACACTACTTTCCCCAATGCTGCACATTCCTTTGTCTCATGCCCTTCTGCACACTTCTCACACCTAAGAACCTCCCACCTACACACTGCTGCCACATGCCCATAAGGTTGACACCTGTAACAACGTAATGGCACACTAGCTCGTACCGGCTAACTTATATATCCTAACATCACTTTATCAGGCAGACTCAATTTCAAAACTCAAAAGACAATGACTCTTCTATTTCTCCACTCACGCCACCCTGTCTGCGTCGCACCAAACAACGAGCATCACAAACACCGGGAATCTTCCCCTTCAGTTGGTCAGCTTTTACATTTACCGCTACCCCAGTAATCACGCCTTTCAATGGAGCCCTTTTCTTGAGAGCAAAACAGTTCACATTTCTTGTCCCCATTCGTTCAACACGGAGCGCCTACTCCCTCTGACCAGCAGAAACACAAACAATTATCACCAGACCACTTCTGGTTACCCTCACCGATTCCACAGGATCCAACTCTGTTTTCACCCATCCTGAAACCACAAATGGATCAGCCGAAAGGCAAGGGTCCACTTTTTCCAAAACCTTCACTCCTACTGTCACAGACTCCTCGGTGCTAGCCTCGGGCTACGAGCACTTCACCACACCTACCACCTCTGATACTTCACCCTCATTCACTTCCATTTCTCCTCCTGTCTTCAGCTCACTCTGCTTACATTTCCTACCATTCTTCTTTAACAAACCTTCTCCCTTTTTTCCACCATTTTTAACCGACTCAATCTCACGCTCTTCCTCCCTCTCTCTCTTAGACCTCCTTTGCCTCTCTTTTTCCCTCCATTCCTCCTCCGTATTCCAAGTATAACTCTCCTTGTGATAATATTGCACTTCTCCTGACATACATCCTGTTCTCGCCTTCACAAGGGACGCCATTTAACCAGCTGTCACAATCTCCGTCCAATCAGCACCAACCCCTCGGGATGTCAGGTTTGAGCCTTGACAAAATACCTTTGAATATATGTACAGTGGGGAGAACAAGTATTTGATACACTGCCGATTTTGCAGGTTTTCCTACTTACAAAGCATGTAGAGGTCTGTAATTCCAAAATCCAGAAAATCACATTGTATGATTTTTAAGTAATTAATTTGCATTTTATTGCATGACATAAGTATTTGATCACCTACCAACCAGTAAGAATTCCGGCTCTCACAGACCTGTTAGTTTTTCTTTAAGAAGCCCTCCTGTTCTCCACTCATTACCTGTATTAACTGCACCTGTTTGAACTCGTTACCTGTATAAAAGACACCTGTCCACACAGTCAATCAAACAGACTCCAACCTCTCCACAATGGCCAAGACCAGAGAGCTGTGTAAGGACATCAGGGATAAAATTGTAGACCTGCACAAGGCTGGGATGGGCTACAGGACAATAGGCAAGCAGCTTGGTGAGAAGGCAACAACTGTTGGCACAATTATTAGAAAATGGAAGAAGTTCAAGATGACGGTCAATCACCCTCGGTCTGGGGCTCCATGCAAGATCTCACCTCGTGGGGCATCAATGATCATGAGGAAGGTGAGGGATCAGCCCAGAACTACACGGCAGGACCTGGTCAATGACCTGAAGAGAGCTGGGACCACAGTCTCAAAGAAAACCATTAGTAACACACTACGCCGTCATGGATTAAAATCCTGCAGCGCACGCAAGGTCCCCCTGCTCAAGCCAGCGCATGTCCAGGCCCGTCTGAAGTTTGCCAATGACCATCTGGATGATCCAGAGGAGGAATGGGAGAAGGTCATGTGGTCTGATGAGACAAAATTAGAGCTTTTTTGGTCTAAACTCCACTCGCCGTGTTTGGAGGAAGAAGAAGGATGAGTCCAACCCCAAGAACACCATCCCAACCGTGAAGCATGGAGGTGGAAACATCATTCTTTGGGGATGCTTTTCTGCAAAGGGGACAGGACGACTGCACCGTATTGAGGGGAGGATGGATGGGTCCATGTATCGCGAGATCTTGGCCAACAACCTCCTTCCCTCAGTAAGAGCATTGAAGATGGGTCGTGGCTGGGTCTTCCAGCATGACAACGACCCGAAACACACAGCCAGGGCAACTAAGGAGTGGCTCCGTAAGAAGCATCTCAAGGTCCTGGAGTGGCCTAGCCAGTCTCCAGACCTGAACCCAATAGAAAATCTTTGGAGGGAGCTGAAAGTCCGTATTGCCCAGCGACAGCCCCGAAACCTGAAGGATCTGGAGAAGGTCTGTATGGAGGAGTGGGCCAAAATCCCTGCTGCAGTGTGTGCAAACCTGGTCAAGACCTACAGGAAACGTATGATCTCTGTAATTGCAAGACCATAAGCAAATAGGTAAACTGGGATAGTATATATATTTTCTGTTGTATTTCTGACTTTATGTTTTGTTTTTTACCCCATATGTAACTCTGTGTTGTTTTTATTGCACTACTTTGCTTTATCTTGGCCAGGTCGCAGTTGTAAATGAGAACCTGTTCTCAACTGGCTTACCTGGTTAAATAAAGGTGAAATAAAAAAATAAAAAAAATAATAATACTAAAGAGTTAATCAGGGTGATCTTTCCACAAATTGACAGGCACCCACCTTTCCATGGTAGCAAGATCTTATCTATTTTTGCTAACTTTCTATTATAATTTATTGAAGTGAGATCATTTATTTCCTTTGGGATATGTATTCCGAGTATATCCACATCACCATCAGACCATTTTATTGGTAAACTACATGGTAATGTATAGGAAATATATTTTTTACGCGCCAAGCGCTTTAGCACTCGGCGGTCCCGTTCTGTGAGCTTGTGTGGCCTTAGCCTTTGTTACTCCTAGACGTTTCCACTTCACAATAACAGCACATACAGTTGACCCGCTCACCTCTAGCAGGACAGAAATTTGGCGAACTGACTTGTTGGAAAGGTGGCATCCTATGACGGTGCCACGTTGAAAGTCACTAAGCTCTTCAGTAAGGCCATTCTACTGCCAATATTTGTCTATGGAGACTGCATGGCTGTGTGCTCGATTTTATACACCTGTCAGCAACGGGTGAGGCTGAAATAGCCGAATCCACTAATTTGAAGGGGTGTCCACATACTTTTGTATATATAGCGTATATGGAGCCCTCCGCATGGTTTAAAAATTTGGGAGGCGCACGGCATCGCCGTAGAGAGCTCGATTTGGCCTCTGCACGCCTCCGGAAGCGCCGCAATTGTGTCATACCCTCCATATTGAGCATCCAGATCACAAATTACCGGATCAAGCATTCATTGGCTTTTATCGTAGCCGATTTATGGTCAATCCGGCCTCTGAAGTGGCTGTGTAGCATTTACAGCGATACGGCCTCCGTAGAAGTCAGAACATTCATACTTCTTGAATGGTCTGCCTCGTGGAGCTGTCATCCTCTACCAATAAACTGGTCTGCCTCGTGGAGCTGTCATCCTCTACCAATAAACTGGTCTGCCTCGTGGAGCTGTCATCCTCTACCAATAAACTGGTCTGCCTCGTGGAGCTGTCATCCTCTACCAATAAACTGGTCTGCCTCGTGGAGCTGTCATCCTCTACCAATAAACTGGTCTGCCTGGTGGAGCTGTCATCCTCTACCAATAAACTGGTCTGCCTCGTGGAGCTGTCATCCTCTACCAATAAACTGGTCTGCCTCGTGGAGCTGTCATCCTCTACCAATAAACTGGTCTGCCTCGTGGAGCTGTCATCCTCTACCAATAAACTGGTCTGCCTGGTGGAGCTGTCATCCTCTACCAATAAACTGGTCTGCCTCGTGGAGCTGTCATCCTCTACCAATAAACTGGTCTGCCTGGTGGAGCTGTCATCCTCTACCAATAAACTGGTCTGCCTCGTGGAGCTGTCATCCTCTACCAATAAACTGGTCTGCCTCGTGGAGCTGTCATCCTCTACCAATAAACTGGTCTGCCTGGTGGAGCTGTCATCCTCTACCAATAAACTGGTCTGCCACGAGGAGCTGTCATCCTCTACCAATAAACTGGTCTGCCTGGTGGAGCTGTCATCCTCTACCAATAAAC